CGGGGAATGGGATGGGAACGAGGAGAACTGAAAACCAGGATGGGCTTGGAGAGAAATCCTTCCCTGGGAGGGTGGGGCTGCCCATTCCCCAAATCCCATTCCCCAAATCCCATTCCTATTCCCCAAATCCCATTCCCATTCCCCGGATCCCATTCCCCGGATCCCATTCCCCACTCCCATTCCCCATTCCCATTCCCTGACTCCCATTCCCCGGGTCCCATTCCCCATTCCCATTCCCTGGATCCCATTCCCCATTCCCATTCCCTGTCTCCCATTCCCCGTCTCCCATTCCCCATTCCCATTCCCCGTGTCCCATTCCCCGTTCCCATTCCCCGTGTCCCATTCCTGTCCCCGGGCAGAGTCGGACGAGGCTCTGCTCAAGATGACCATGGGACCTCCGGAGTTTGGCCGCATTCCCATTCCCCAAATCCCATTCCCCATTCCCATTCCCCATTCCCATTCCCTGGATCCCATTCCCCGGATCCCATTCCCCAAATCCCATTCCCATTCCCTGGATCCCATTCCCATTCCCATTCCCCATTCCCATTCCCCATTCCCATTCCCCGGGTCCCATTCCCCGTGTCCCATTCCGGTTCCCGTCCCCGGGCAGAGTCGGACGAGGCTCTGCTCAAGATGACCATGGGGCCGCCGGAGTTTGGCCGCGCGGGGCTGCCGGACCTGAGCTCCATGAGCGAGGAGGAGCAGATCGCCTACGCCATGCAGATGTCCCTGCAGGGCGCCGGTGCGTGCCGGGAAAACTGCGGGAAAACCGTGGGGAAACGGCGGGAAAAACGCGGGGAAAACTGCGGGAAAACCGTGGGGAAACGGCGGGAAAAACGCGGGGAAAACCAGGGGAAAACTGCGGGAAAACCGTGGGGAAACCACGGGAAAAATGCGGGAAAAACCAGGGGAAAACGTGGGGAAAACCAGGGGAAAACTGCGGGAAAACCGCGGGAAAACTGCGGGAAAACCGTGGGAAAAATCATGGGGAAAACCACGGGAAAACCTCTGAGAAAACCCTGGGAAAACTGTGGGAAAACCGCGGGAAAACCCTTGGAAAATCATGGGGAAAACCACAGGAAAACCCCCGGGAAAACTGCGGGAAAACAGCGGGGAAAATTGCGGGAAAACTGTGGGAAAACCACGGGGAAAAATGCGGGAAAACTGTGGGGAAATCATGGGAAAACAGCAGGAAAACTGTGGGAAAATCGTGGGGAAAACCTCTGGGAAAACCTCTGGGAAAACCACGGGAAAACCACGGGAAAAACACGGGAAAACCCTTGGAAAACCATGGGAAAAATCATGGGGAAAACCACGGGAAAACCTCTGAGAAAACCCTGGGAAAACCGTGGGAAAACCACGGGAAAAACGCGGGAAAACCCTGGGAAAACCCTGGAAAAAAACGCGGGAAAACCGTGGGAAAATCATGGGAAACCCCTGGGAAAAAACTGCGGGAAAACCGTGGGAAAATCATGGAGAAAACCACGGGAAAACCCCTGGGAAAACCTCGGGAAAATTGTGGGAAAACCTCTGGGAAAAAACTGTGGGAAAATCACAGGAAAACCTGTGGGAAAACCCCGTGAAAACTGCGGGGAAAACAGTGGGAAAGCCACAGGAAAACCCCGGGAAAACTGCGGGGAAAACAGTGGGAAAACCACAGGAAAACCCCGGGAAAACTGCGGGGAAAACAGTGGGAAAGCCACAGGAAAACCCCGGGAAAACTGCGGGGAAAACAGTGGGAAAACCACAGGAAAACCCCGGGAAAACTCTGGGAAAAAGCTGTGGGAAAACCCCTGGGAAAACCCCAGGAAAACCTCTGGGAAACCTCTGGGAAAACCGTGAGGAAAACCCTGGGAAAACCACGGGAAAACTGCGGAAAAACTCTGGGAAAGCCCCGGGAAAGCCTCGGGAAAGCCTCGGGAAAGCCTCTGGAACGGCTGCCCGGCTGCTCCCGGGGTTTTCCATGGATTTCTGGGATTGCAGAGTTTGCCCAGGCTGAGGCGGCCGAGGTGGACAGCGGAGCCGCCATGGACACGTCCGAGCCCGCCAAGGTCAGGGAATTCCCGCGATTCCCGGATCATTCCGGCACCTCCCGACATTCCCGACATTCCCATCCCATTCCCATCATTCCCATCCCATTCCCATCCCATTCCCACCATTCCCATCCCATTCCCATCCCATCATTCCCATTCCCATCCCATTCCCACCATTCCCATCCCATTCCCATCCCATTCCCATCTTGTCATTCCCATCATTCCCATCCTGTCATTCCCATCCCGACATTCCCACCCCATCCCATTCCGACATTCCCATCCCGTCATTCCCATCCCATTCCCATCCCATTCCCGGGACAGGATCGAGCTCCTCCTCCAGCCCCTTCCATCCCAAACCCCTCCTGGATTCCCTGTTGTGGCTCCCGTGGGATTTTTGGGATCCCAAATTCCCCAGGAACGACCCCAAATCCCCCGGGAACAATCCCAAATGTCTCTGGAACGATCCCAAATTCCCTGGAATGACCCCAAATCCCCAGGAATGACCCCAAATCCCCCGGGAACGATCCCAAATCTCTCGGGAACGATCCCAAATCTCTCGGGAACGATCCCAAATCTCTCGGGAACGATCCCAAATCCCCTGGAATGATCCCAGATCCCCAGGAATGACCCCAAATCCCCGGGAACAATCCCAAATTCCCTGGGAAAGATCCCAATTCCCTGGGAACGATCCCAAATCTCTGGGAATGATCTGGAACCCCTGGGAATGACCCCAAATCCCTGGGAATGATCTGGAATTCCCAGGAATGATCCCAAATCCCTTGGGAATGATCTGGGATCCCTGGGAATGATCCCAAATCCCGAGGAACAATCCCAAATCCCCCACGAACCACCCCAAATCCCTGGGAATAATCTGGAATCCCTGGGAATGATCCCAAATCCCCCGAGAACGACCCCAAATCCCCCGAGAACAACCCCAAATCCCCGGGAATGATCCCAAATCCCCTGGGAACGACCCCAAATCTCCTGGGATGACCCCAAATCCCCCAGGAACGACCCCAAATCCCCTGGGAACGACCCCGAATCCCCGGGAACGATCCCAAATCTCCTGGGATGACCCCGAATCCCCTGGGAACGATCCCGAATTCCCTGGATTTTCCTGTGGGTCCAGATGATCCCAGATCCCCCGGGAGCGACCCCAAATCCCTCGAGAACGATCCCAATTCCCCTGGGATGATCCCGAATTCCCGGAATTCCCCGCGATTCCCGCTTTTCCCGCAGGAGGAGGACGACTACGACGTGATGCAGGACCCGGAATTCCTGCAGAGCGTCCTGGAAAACCTTCCCGGCGTGGATCCCAACAACGAGGCCATCCGCAACGCCATGGGATCCCTGGCCTCCCAGGCCGCCCGGGAAAACCGGGAAAACAACCGGGAAAACAACCGGGAAAACCGGAAGGAGGAGGAGAAGAAATGAAATCCCCGGGAAAAAAAAAAAACGGAATTAAAAGGAATTTATTTCCCTTGGGAATCGGAGATATTAAAGGATTAAAAGGAGTTTTTTTGGGGTTGGGAGGAGTCGTTTGGGAAGGGGAGGGATTTTTTTGGGAATGACGAGCGGGAATTGCGGGAATTGCGCGAGGAATTTCTTGGGAATTGCGGGAATAAATGGATTAAAAGTTTTTTTTTGGGAGTTGAAGGAGTTTCTCGGGAATGGCGAGAAGAACTGAAAGGAATTGCTGGGAATGGCGGGGATTTGTTGGGAATTGCGGGATTTCTTGGGAATGGTGGGAATAACGCAAGGAATTTCGTGGGAATAAAAGGATTAAAAGGAATTTTTGGCGGGAATTGAAAGAGTTTCTTGGGAGCGGTCGGGATAATTGAAGGGAATTCCTGGGAATGGCGGGGAATTCTTGGGAATAACCCACGGAATTCCTTGGGAATTGTGGGAAGAGAAGGAATTTCCGGCCTGGCCTCAGCGGGAGCGGAATTTCCGCAGCAGCTCCCGGCATCCCCCGCGCGCTGTTTGCCGGGGCGGGGCTTGAGCGTTGATGGACAACAAAACCAACCAATCAGCAAAGGGGAGGAGCAGATGCAGGCCAATAGGGGGAGGAGGAAGGCGGGGTTATCTATGAGTTGCAGCTATGCGGACCAATGAGCGACGAGGATTGGCTTGGCGGGCTTTTGGGCACTCCAGCCAATCGGAGAGCGAGGAGACAGAGACGGGTTTGAGTGACAGCGCAATCCACCAATGGCATCGCGCAACAGGCGGGGGTGGGCGGGACATCCCCTCAGCTCTGTTTGTGAGCGACAGCGCTGGCAGGGAATGGCAGGAGGGGCTTGAAGCGTTCTCGGCCCGGGCTGGGCGGGTTCAGGCGCTGAGGGACAAATCCCGCGCCCTGTAAGAGCCCCCGGCTGGGAGCCGCCGCCATGGACGC